AAAAACTAAAAATGATAGAAATGAGATTTCACTTGACATAAAAACTTCTAGCACAGATGGAGTTATATTTTTTGCCTATCAATCTGAAGGCACAGACTTTATGGCTGTTTATTTGAATGAAGGAAAAGTAATATAACCATTTATTACAAATAGTGTCAAAAATATTTTATTGATCAATAATATTTATACATTTTAGGTTAACTATCAATTGAGCTGTAACTCTATACCTATGACAATCAAAGCTCAATTGCCCGTTAATGACAGAAATTGGCATTCTATTAATTGGATCAGGTCTAATACAAATGCTGAATTATTTGTAGATAATATACCAGTTGGATCCAGTCTTATATCAGACTGCAAAAACATGAATTCCATATACTATTTAGGAGGCGTTCATCCAACAGCTTATCAAAAAGTTATTGAGTATATAGTAAGGACAAAATACTTGATTAATACTAAATATAATAATAATTTATTCTATAATAATTTTTCTTTAACTAAAAAACTGTTATTTAAAACATGTCTCTCACAACATTTAAAAAATATTTTTAAATGCATAACTTAGATAAAATTATTTTCAGGGAATGAATGAAACATTTATAGGTTGTTTACGCAATTTCAAAGTAAACTCTAAAGATGTTGGAAGTCCTAGTCGTAAACATGGTGTAACCAAATGCTCTGAAAAAGTTGAAGAAGGAGCATTTTTCCACGGAAATGGCGGTTACATCAGATTATGTAAACTAATAATATTAATTTTATGGTTATTAAAATTACAAATTTTATTTTACATTAAACAAACATTTTATTTTAGTGGAAAAATTTGTCGTTGGTAAAGAATTTGAGATTTCAATGAATATAAAACCAAGAAGTGTTAATGGAATTTTAATGTCAGCTCAATCATCAAAAAAGAATTTATTAATGTTGAAAATGATAAATGGAACAATATCATTTTCTGTGAACACTGGTAAAGGTCAAATTTCTGCTTCTTTTACACCAGCATCTCCTTACTACTTATGTGATGGCATGTGGCATACAATTAAAGGTTAGTTTTAATTATTTTATTTGGTTTTTGAATAAATTAATTGGATAGGTGAATGGGTCTTGGTTGGTTAGAATCAAACCACCTTGTTTAACTGAACTTGGCATCACTGATATTGATTTAATTTTTAACATCAACTAAAATTTTCCAATTCATTAAATGTAGCTTTTCAATAAGTTATTATTATTAATTATTTTTGTTAAATTCTTTTACAGCCGCGAAGCATAAAAATATTGTACGATTGGGTGTTGATAATATGTTTACAACTCCAGACCAATATGGTAAAGTAGGAACAACCAACAATACATTGACTGAATCATTGTATCTTGGTGGTAATCCGATATTCAACAATCGTCAAGTCAACGGATACTTAGGATGTATACAAAATGTTGAGATAGTTAACGTTAATATACATGACAAAATTATATTTAAGAAGTTTCCAACTCAAATAGTGCATGGCAATGTGACATTAAGTGTTTGTCCAACAATTTAGAGTTACTATTCCAATATACTGTATTGATAAAAAAAACAAATATCATACATAAATTATTTTTAAATTTTATTTTATATTTTTGTAAATAATATTTTTACTTCATGATAATTAATAATAATAACTTGGTCATTTTTATATTGTATAATGTAAAAACATAGCCGATTAAAATGAAAAAAGTAATTGTACAAACTATGAGTACTTACTTTTAAAGCCAGTAAGACTTTAAATTCCGTAAAGTTAATAGTATAACAATTAGTAAAAAAAATATATAATAACATATTATATTACTTACAATATATTATATTATATAGTACAAAAGTGTATTGCACACTGTATATAAAAATTCATATATAATACATATTTTAATATATAAAACATTTTTTTTCTTATTTTCCTGTATTATATACGAGCTAAGATTTAATAGACAGTTTAATATTTTATTATTTTAATACTATTATTATTATGTGGTTATAACCAGTTGTATTTTTTGTATGCAGTGCACCTCAAAAACTGCTCAAATTGTATGAATGCCAAACATGCATATTATTGTACATAACTAAAGGGTGTCCTCAAAAGAATGATGATTTTTTTTAATTGGCTAGAAAAACACTTTATTTTTCAAACTAACACAAAATAAAAAAAGGATATGAATATTTCAGTATGATTTCTGGTTTAAGTATGAAAAATAATATTATTCAAATTACCTCCCCTGGCTTGCTGACGATTATCGATTAGCAATTAGCAATAACCGCTTCATAATTCTCTCTGGTGAGTTTTGTAATCACACTTCGAATTTCTTCTTTTAAATTGCTTATGGTTTTCGATTCTGTTGTGTAACTCTGAGATTTGATAAAACCTTAAAAGAAAAATCATAATGAATGAGATCACATGACCTAATTAATCAGTTTACATCACTCCAAAGTGCAATTAGGTGATTTGAAAACTTCCCATGCAGCGTGGCGCACCATCGTGCTGAAATCACAACTCTGTGAAGCCCATGTGTCAAGATTAAATCATAAAAAATCAATGATCATGTTGCGGTACTGTTCATCATAAAAAAGCGTTATTTTTGGGAAACTCTTTATAATAATATATTGTTATGTATTTATTAAATCCTATAAAGACTCATCAAATTATGATTAATGTTTGAGCCCCGAATCCTGAACTGTAAAATTTTAATCTTGGTACAAAAACAGAAGTACTTGTGCCTATCGACATATCTACTTATGGAATGAAGATATTTAGGGAGGGATCAGAAGGGCAATTGCATTGAATGCCAAATTCTGAGGCCCATAAAGAGGCGTTGGTATTTTTATTATTACTATATTATGTTACATTAATTATTTTAAAATTAACAAGTATTAATAAAATAAAATATATGAAGTATCTAAGTGCCAAAAGTAAAATTTTGGTTGCATACAAGTGGCGTCTCGTGGGTAATTACGAAAAAGGTCTAATCCGAATTACAAACTATAGCCCAGGTTTTTAAACATAACTAGGCAAAAGTTGATGCATTTTGCATTTTTTTTTTTTTTTTTTTTTTGAAACTTATTAGACGATTCTCTCCTGACCACAAATGTGTTTCATAAGCATGTTAATCTAAATAACTAATTTTTATTTTGCATTTTTTGGCTATTTTTACTTTTTAAGTCATTTTTTGTCATTTTTAGGTCCTATTTTCATTTTTAGTTCAATTTCTTGTATTAATAACTAGATTTTTATTAATATTAGACACGCACAGTTTTTGTTGTACACAGACAGTATGTAAGTACCTACATCAAAATATTTATATCTTATAAAATAATATTTTACACAAGCTATATACGAGTAAGGTAAAGATAAAGATTTGATAAAAAAATGTAATTGCTAGCTGTCATTTTTACTTTTGATAATATTAACTATACTTTAATAGTACAATGTAATAATTTTGAGTATAATTTTTATTATTATTACTATTCTTTTTTTAAAAATAAATGTATTTTTACTAATTTTAAACAAATATTTATAATTTTTTTGGTCATTTATCATATATTTTATTTACGTCATCTTTTAATGTCTCTAAGGTCATCAACTTCTGAATTATAATTATAAATATCTCAGACTAATTAATATTTATCATCTTAAGAAGCATTTATAACGTCTAATAACTACCTAACAACTGTCTCCAAATTTATCCTAAAACATATTAATACGTTACATAACACAGTATAACGTTAGTACCTGCCTACTTAGTCTAATCGTTGGAAAATAAAAATTAAAGAAACCAAACCAGCCGCACTTTCTTATAATTTTCACTTTACACCCAAAAGTATGTTTTCTAATCAAACTAAATAATAATATTTCTACTGTCTCTGAAGTTTAGTATTAAGTTTTATATTTTTAGGCTTAACTTTTAACAAACCTCTCACGCCAGATCAAAACGAAAAGTAACAAATTATATAGACTTCAAATGTTTCGTCCTCTTTTCTGACCCAAAGTCGCATACTTAAAATTAATAAAAACTGCAAAACGAACATATTTTTAACTTAGCTGTAGTTGTAATAACGATTATTTTAATACCACGACAATTGGACAAATCCTTCCCCTCCTCACAATGATGTAAAATAACAATATTAAATAATAATATGTACGTGTTTCGCTTCGTCTCATTACACTGTTTGGAAATTGAAAACGAAAAAGGGTTTATTACAATAATATGTTATTTACGTATTGAACATTGATCGACAGAAGTACCTATAGCAGTTGCATACGGTTATCGCATAAGAGTACCTAATAGGTAACATTTTCGTCGTCCAGTGGAAACAACGAGTCTAAAACGTACACTGTACACCGATACGCATTGATTGAAAATTGAACTGTTGTGAACGGACGTGACGGTAGGTAAAAATATCTATTTTACACTGACGCGGCTACCACCGTATTACCGTATTCCGTGTAACCCGTGTGGTCAACACATAACCATGATAGGGTTTATACCAAAATAATTTAATACATAATTATTATTCATAATTCATCTACCTATAGATACGTCTTCTCCGTATTGAGTATTCTTATTTCTTGGGCGTATACGGTTGTGCGCAGTTTATTAGCGTGTCATGACTTTAGTGATAATGTTTTTTTTATCCAAACGAACAACATACCTATAATAATTATTAAGCAGGTAATGTAACTGGCGATGGACAACGATGAACGCGAAAGTACGACGCGCGTTAAAACAATAATAAAAAATAATAAATAATGATTCGTCGTCGTCGTCGTCTGCAGCAGTGATCAGACTCGGCGGCGGTCATTCGCACGAAATCCGAGCTGGGCCGTCGATGGGCGAACGGCAAGTGGAGGCGGCGTTTGTTTTGCTGCGAGGCCGGCCTGTTGTACGGTATTATAATATATTATGTATATTAAATACGTTCAGCAGCTCTTACAGCAGTCGTGTAGGTATATGCACGCATTATTGGCAACGCGTCAATACCGCAATCGCAATGGCGGCGGTGAAGGACGCGTAAGGGTACCCTCGTATACCCGCGCGTAACTCAGTGCCATTTCGTCCATCAAATCCGCAGTGGAAAACTACGTTTTTGCTAGATAGGTAACCGTCACGCAATACACACGTCGCCGCACTGCAGCACGCCTATCCCGACGGCTTTCGTCACGAGGTGAGTCCATCAACTGCAGTACAACACGGTACCTACCTTATTTATAATGATATATCATATACTATAATATTATTGTTGTTATAATATAACATTGAATATCGTGCAGCGTCCTTTTCCTGTACGAGTCGGGGCCTGCGGTCCGGACGAAACCGTTCGGTTCCCGGACGCGCTCCAATATCGTTCCTATACGTGATATCTATATTGCAATATACCGCGGTCATTCGGAAGCGGTTTAAAAGTCTTATTATAACATTATTGTGTAGGAGGTGTATTTGATGGTGTGCGATTTCACGCAGACAACACCGCACCACTCCGTCAGTGAAATGTATGATAAAAGTACCTGCCTAGTCGTTGATATTCTGTTTAACTGATAACTTGAAGTGAATTTCGACCCTGATTTTCATTTCCCCTACAAAAATCCCTAGACACCACCGTTTATATCATTGAAAATTGTAATTATACCATCGCTGCAGTTAGCAAATACGTATACAAAAACCTACAACCGCCCCCTCTTCTACTGCCCATAGTAAAAATACAAATTGTGTATCCAAATCATATCTGTTATTATACCACAAAATAATTGTACAGTATGTACTTACTTTGTATAGGTATATCATAAAATATTGTATCTTGTTCGTGACGCTTTTCTTATTTCTCGCAGCGCTTCTATACAGGTGCGACATTGATTTATTCTTGCCATATACTATTACTATAATAATATACATTACATAAAACGTCGGTTATGTCTTCAAATTTTAATTCCGTAAATACGTCCCTTGAACGTCTTAACAATAATTTGAGATTTGCAGACGTAGAAAAACGAGTTCAGCAGTGTGTGTGTCACCGTGTCCTCTACGGTTTTGCCACCGCTGAAATACGAATATATTTTTTTAACCATATCGGTGTATTACGTATGATGTGTATAAAATATGCGCATATATCACCCGGGTATGGTGTGGTCTGCACCGCACCGGGGTAGAGGATGTTGTTTTATTTTTTTTTATATATATCGTCGCGTATAAATAGCATTTTGGATACTCGTGTACACGCCGCCACTACTGACTGTTATAAATTCAGTCTCGCGCGCGAATTTGGCAAACTTTCCGGGTCATGTCGTAGCTGCGCAGCCTCGTCGTTTTAAAACCAAAACTATTCGACTCCTCGAACCCACAGTATAATACTTCGAAATAATACAGTGAAATTTCCCTTAACGAACACCTCTAAATAATGGGCATTTTTTCGAAAATGGGAAAATTTTCATTATTTATCTATAGAAAAACTTCTAAACACGAGACACTCTAAATAACGATCACCTTTATGGCTAGATTTTGATAATTATTATCCAAGTTTATCACAATGTACATTTTACACATTATTATAGTTTATTTTATACATCGTAGAAAATAACTGTATCATTTGGAAACTGATTTTGTTTTAAATAATAAACAATAATACTTAGATATATAAAAATAATATAAATATACATATGTGTACATAACATTCATTTTTCATTCCCCCCTTTTATAATTTACGGATTAAATTTCGGTTACGGTATTTAGAAATTTTACCGTATTATAACATTATTTTACACCTCCTACCGGCGACCTGTGGGTACATTCACACTGCTGTAGCGCCCCATAACCTTTTTTATTATGTGCAGCAAGATGTTATATACTTCTATATTTTTACTCGCCAATCGCTTTTAAAGATTTTTCCTAGTCCATAATTTTGTTACCTTAATATTTAAATATACCATATAGTCTACAGAGCTAACAATAAAATTAAATACCTAACACAAAAAAAAATTTGTTAATCTGCTTTAGCTTGCGATAGTCAAATTAATTAGTTTCAGTTAACCCAAGCACATGAAAATTTTTTAATGACTTTTATGCAATGCTAATCTAATGAAATATTCATAACAATAATATCACATATACATTACAACTGTAATATTCAAATGTTAGAGTTATAATCAACATTTATGATTTAAAACTAAATTAATTATTAATAACATATTTATTAATTGTGATCAATATGTCGACTTGGTAATCACAAGCTACTTGAATTAGGAATTTAAAACGTCTTTAAAACCGGGCTCATACACAATAGAGATTTTAGGGGTTGACTTCTCTCTAGTCACCAAAAAAAAATTTCTGATAAATTATAAAGAATGATTATATTGAATAGAAGTGTTTTGAGTCAATGAACTTCTTATAATATAAGTATGAAAATATACAACTTTAACCTCCCCCCCCCCAAAAAAATAATATTTTTCATATACACACCTGATTAGAACAGAGTCTGCTATTAAATTTTTTTAATTATCGCTGAAAAATGTAATAGCTTTTACACCTATATTATTAGTAGGGCTCGGATTTCAATGAATTTGCATCTTTTTTTTGGGATATCTTACTCGATGCTTTTCAAGTTACAAATATGTTTCAGGTACTCCGTGTTCTAACCACAAACATTTTTCGGGACATTTTTTGCATTTTTTTGCATTTTTAGCGGATTTTATACTTTAAAGAGCATTTTTTGACGTTTTAAATGCATTTTTTTAAATTTAAGGACATTTTTTACCTATTTCTCGTATTATTACTATTATTAACTTAAAAGAAATACTAATTGTACAGTGCAATTCAAATATGTAATTTAATTTTTAATTAATTTTTGATTTTAATATTTTTTTATTTTTTTTATTTTTTTTTTGTTGTGTAGTATAAATGAAATTTCATTTTTACTCATTTTTTTATAATAATTTGAATTTATTTAATAAATAATGCATTTTTTAAAAAGGCATTTTTTGATATTTTTAGGGCATTTTTTAAAGTTTTTATGTCATAAATGCATTTTTGAAAGGGCATTTTTTTGATATTTTTAGGGCATTTAAATCCGAGCCCTAATTATTAGTGTTGAGTGCCACTGATTTTGCAGTATGTATTGTGTTTTATTTATAGGGTCCCACGTCAGCCATGCGACTATATTATATACATACTATTATGTGGTATTGTATATAAATATAAAACACGAATCATTTGACGACAATTAATTATAACCGATGCATATATAATATATTATGTAACGCGTCATAGACTGTATAATATTATTATCGTCACTCAGTCACTGTTTAATGCTTTGATACCAGCTTCTAAAATAATTATTGTTCAATAAGAATTTAATACATAATACCGCGTATAATGGATGTTTATAAATTATTATGCATCAGAAAATATTGAATTGAAAATCATTAGTCATTACTCATTAATATAGTATTAGGTTGGATTGATTTAAGAGTTACACGAATATGTATTGTTTCCGTCCTAGATAAAACGTACTACATAGCAAATTTTACGTCTACAATAATCTATTTTACTTAGTTATTTCTAAAATTAGAGTTGACCGATTATAAATGTTGAGGGTAAGATTATTATTTAGAACATCTCGAAGAATTTTATTAATATTTAAAATATAAAGTAAGTTATAAAAATTTTAAAACTGTATACTTTTTGTAAATTCAAAATTAAAGTATCAAAAGCATTTGAGATGCCTTAAATAATGTTACTTTTAACTTTTATAATAAAACAATTCATCCAATTCTTATTTTAAAAATAACAGAGTAAAATGAATTATTGTTTACGTACAATTTGTTATTTTGTAAGTTTGAACAACAGCGACAACGTTTGTGTCTCTGGCTCAACCATTATTTTAAATTACTAGCATACACATTTTCGAAGCTTGTTTACAATACAGACGGTTTATCCCAAGCCTACGATGGCATAATTATTTTTTATACCTCTTATTTTAGAAGTGGTATTCTTTGAGTCTTGTCAAAGTCTAAAAACATCATCGGTCTTGGGTATTTTACGTTGAATTTATTTTTCAAATTTCCTGTTTGAGAAGACAAAAAAAAACCCTATCAGAAAAATTAAGGCAATTTAAGATCTAGGTTATAAGTGTAAAATTACTTGTTTATAGAATACTCGTAAATTTTGATTTGATTTTAATTTAATATAGATGAAAATAATTAGGTCAATTAGGGAAACGATAATATTTTACTAAAATTTATAATTTATTAAAATGTAATCTAATCATTTAATATGTGCTTATTTTTTTTTTAAATAATACATTTTGATTAGTTTTGTGTGAGTATGAATTTTAGAAATAGTATCGATTTTTTTCTCGAATTTTGTTTATTTGTATTTTAATTTTAATGCAAATATATTGTTGTCTGTTGATTCCAACATATTTAAATTGTTCTAATACATTTTAAAAACTTAAAATAAACTTAATTTTCATGACTTCAACTTGTAAGATTTTTAACAGACATCAACGTTTTTGAATTTGTTAACATCATTTGAAATTGATTTCCATACAGGTTGGATATTGGTTTGACATTGCTTTTGAATATATACATTGTGCCAATCTTGGTGTAGATATAATCCCTAAAGTATCTGAACATTTGATTTTTATTATTATTAAATTCAAATATGAATTTTGTTTATCATTTTTGAATACTCTACAACAAAATTATGTTTTTATAGTATTTTACTTTGATAATATTTTCTACTTATTTATTATATTATATATAACGTCTCGTTTAAAGATAATCTATTTTGATTATTTTTCTTCCACGAGTTTACTAATTTTATAACAGCAACATGTTTATTATATCTAATACTTATGTATAAACATATAGGGTAAAATACTAGGGTCTAGAATGTTTAAAAATTAATAACCATTAACGTTCCTATTAAATTATTTACTATTGTTTACGTCCTTTTGAAATCGTGTTTCACGTGTGAATTTCATACTTCATTTAATACACAGTAAAATGGCATTTTAGAACTGTCGTGATAAATCTCAAGTAGGTTTTTAATCATATTATTATAATATAAGATATACATTTTATAATATGTGATACTTTATTATAAATCTTATAAAGTTCATAATTTATAAATTTATGAGGTTTTTTAAATATCATATAATAAAAATGTGAAATAAAAAGTTGTTTTAATTTTTTTAATAATTTTTTTAAAACTTCATAATTAATCAGGGACTTTATTTATCAATACATATTAATTTATGATATTTAATACATTTTTATAGTGAATATTCCAAAGTAAATATGTATTTAAACTTTGAAATAAAATATTAAGAATATAATAGCGGTAATAAAATAAAACATATCATTCTAAATACTATAAGAATAAAAATATACGGTTACAAACCTAAATTACAATGAAAAGTTACTAAATTTACTAGTATAATACAATTAATTAGAAACTAGTTTTTCTGTATTGGAGAGAAAAACTGGGGTTGTTAATAGTTCGTATTAGAATATTAGACGAATAATATAAAAATAATTCAAAAAGATTTTATGGAACATGGACATGGGACGAAGCGGAACGTGATGGTACTAAGAAATAAAATATAAGTATACAGGATAATTGAATTTACCAGATATCAGTGAGGATATTGTGTATGAATGGAAAATAAGCCACATGTCTTCTGTAATAACTAATAAGTAAAGTTTAAAGAAATATTAAACTGCTGAAGGTGCGTGTAGTTATTGGGAAAACAAGGGATATTGATTTTTGATACTTAAAGTTTTCTATATTTATTATTAAAGTATCTAATATCTATACTGTAGTAATTAATTTGTCAAATCATAGTTATATTATTTTTTATAAATTCCTAAAGCGTAATCCATTTAATTTTTACTTCCTTTTCTTAATAGAGTTGTACCTACAACTATTTTGTCTAGCATAAATTTACAATTTATTTTCTTTTACCAAGTTGTACACATTCTCTACAACCACCTTATCTCACTCCCATCTCATGAGATAAATTTTTCTTCGCAACATAAAATTGTTAGTAGGTTATAACTACTTACTACATAGATACTATGAATTATAATTAGAAATTAATTAATTATACTGTAAATTATCTTCTAATAATAATTTTAAAATAAAAACACGTTGTATTATTATAAATATATAGGTGTAGTTACTATGTATGTACATTTTTATATATAAACATATATAGTAATAATATACATAATTTAGAAACTATTTAAATTATTTGTTTACAATAGTTAATATCCCTAATATTAAAAAAAAAGTATATAGGTACATTTTGAAAAATATCCTCAAATTTATTATATAATTGTATAATAAATATACAAAAGACTTTTGAACTTCCCAATCCATAACTTTTTATTTAATTATATAATCATGTATGGTTAAAAGTCATTACTCATTATTAATGTTGAATAGTTTTATCACTTAATTTCTGGGCCAAAAAAACACAAAAATAATAATTAAATCTAAAAGATTTTATAGTATATAATAAAAGTCTTTTTATTTTAGAAAGATAATTAAATATAGAATTTCAATGAACAAAATAATAAATTAAAATGTTAACTGACATACGGCTTGTAATAAAGTGATATTGGTATAAGTATAAAGTTTGAAGTTATACTTCTTATACCATTGATTATATTATAATCTATTCTATAGTCAATGCTTATACGTTTCACCGAAACTCAACGTGACATTTATAGCTTTTGTTACTCTGCAGTCTGCTCTATCGCAGTTAATCTTTCGAAATAACTGGAATAAAAAACCAACACACAATTTATATTAGTGTGCTATGTAATTAATTTTATTTTAACTGCATAAAATTGCCAAGTAATTAATTGAATGGTAATTGATAAGTTATTTTAACTGTTTGATCAATAAAATTGAATAAATTAAAACATAAAATTCTAACCGTTCAAAAAAAAAAAAAGTTATAGCTTATATAATAATAATATATGGCTATGCATTTTTATTATGAGTCAATTAGTTTCAGAATATGTCAATTAAATTTATTAAAAATATATAGAACATCAAGTATAACCGTAAACATTAAAAAATGTATAAATTACTTTTTTCTTAACGAAATAAACTTATTAATGACACCTTTACAAAAACGTATTGATATAATGCATAAGCTATGTGTACTCAGAATCAATTCTAATGATCTAAATAAATTTGATTTGTAATATACACAAATTATAATTTTATCATATAATTAAGCATACTTAACTAATTCTAGAATATATTTTATAATTACCTTCTGATTTTATCACCTATTATTTATTAACATTAAAACAAATTTTATCTCATTAAAACAGAGAATTTGTACATTAATCTTTTCTAATTAAGTAATGTATTTAATGATTAATTAGTTGTTAGTTCTATTACTATTTTAAAATGGTATTTAATTTAGTATAGTCGCTTAAACAACAAATAGTTATTTATATTCAAAATAATAAAGTATAATAGATAAGTATCTAACTATTTATTTTATATTAAATTTATGTTAAAATCACTATCACTAGATACCTTATTTGACCCAGTACCCACTCTCACTACTAAAGATCTTTTTATTCTGTTTGTATAAAAAATTGTAAATTTATTAAAATAAAAAATAAATATATTGTAATTAATCGGCAATTACATATCATTTTAACGAGTTCATCGTGATTATTCTCGCATAAATGTAAATTTGAATCCATTTCAGAACAAATATCTAATTTTTTTTTTTTAATATTAATTTATATAAAAGCGTAATAGTCTATAGATATCCAAATCATGTAGTATACATACATATTACTGCATACTTCATAACTATTAAAAAATATTTTTATCGTGTTTTTTAATAATTAATTTTTTTTTTAACTTGTATATTATAATTATAAAAAATAAATTCATTATATATTTATTATTTAGGCAGTAACTTACATACATCAGCATGTCAGAAAGACGGACACTTTTGAGCCGTCCCCGAACCCGGGTGTACGATTGCAATTATAACATCGGCGAGGGTTACTATAAGCCAATGATGGACCACCTGGACCGCAAATACTACGGTTCTTCGACCACACCAGCCGCAGCCAAACCAACTAGCGGATTCTTCGACTCTAGCCCCAAAAGCCTATTTGGTACATCTGGCACTTCGGCTTTTGACGAGTACAGATCTTCATCACCAGTGCGGTCCCGGCGCAGCGGATCCGACTCCAGATTATCACTGCCCGACGACGAATTCGAACAAGAGGTAAATTCTTTCGATAAAATTTTAGATATAGATCAATAAATCACTATAATTTAAAAATGATTATTTTATGCATTAAATCTATGGTGTTGACCACATTTAGTGCATGAGGGATGTAGAAGATTTATAAAATATATACTATATATTATGTAAGATGAAAAAAGTTATTTAAGTACTACATATACTCAGCCTAAATACCTTAAAAAGTATACATAACATATTCAAATATGTTAATGCTTTTTGTCTTAACATTATTTGCAGAGTAGTTTGAATAGATACTTTATTAGCAATACATTTGTAAACGATCTAAAATATATTATTATTTATGATTATTATTAATCAACGTCTTATCCACGAGCTTGGGGTTAAGACACAGATAATATATATTAATTTAATTATTAAACGATGAACTAACGATGATACTGGCATGTTATCCTACAGGTGGGTAAAGGGGTAGATAACCTGCACCTGCAGTGTTTCGATGTAGTTTTTTTGTATTTTATCAACATTAACTTGTCCGTTTTGACGATTAATATGTATATATTTTTAATAAATGACTACATTGCACAGATAATACGTAATTGTGTTGTTTTTAGGGTAATTTTAATTTTTGACAATCCATCTATTAAAAAACGTACACAACGGTGTTTCCAAAAAAGAAACACGTATACAAATGTGATGTATGTAAAAGAAGCTCAATTATATTTTAGTTAATAATTAATATAATATCTATAATTAAATATATAATGTTTATTTTTATATTATCTTCAATGGTATATAATCAATAACTTGATAGGAGAGTGGCCAGATAATTTTAAATGTGAGTAATTCAAGAGAAAGGATAATCATTGCTGAAAATTGTTTATATATATTTTGTATATTACACACATAATATTAATATACAAGTGTATTTACACTATAATGCAACTGATGTATTTATATTATATGCCAGTGCGTCAAGTAACGCGAAGTAACAATTGCCACTGAAACTTGAATCAATTTTTAATAATATTATTGAATAAAAAGTACGTGCTATACGTCTTGTATATAATATTAAAATAATATAACATCATTTGTATTGATAGTAAGAATAAGAATATTTTTTAACAACATTTCCATTAAAAATGTTTTATTATATAATTTAGTGGATATTATATAGTATAAACTAACCATTATTTGTTTGAAGGGAACGTATACTTCAAAAACAGTAAACATACCACCTTGAATATTTTATTCTTACCTTTACTCTGAGTTATAGTAAAATAATTAAATTTCAATGGCGTTTTATTATTTATTTTTATTTCATTTTGCTTTTAATTGCTTAGTAAAATAAAAAAAAATAATAGGATTATTTAATAAATTCAAACAAGACTCATAATTGATCGACCTAATCCTTCCAGAAATATTTTAAAATAATTAAAAATATAACATAATCAAATATTTGAATGAAATTTTTATTTTTTGAATTTTTCTAATAAAAAAATATGAATATTGATAGTCGAAATCAATTTAATAATAATAATTTATATGATTCATTATTACCTATATGTTATGTATTAATAATTGGCCCACTAGTGAAATTTGGTAACTGGAATTCATGTATTGACGTATCGTGATCTTATACCTAAATTATAAGAAAAAATCCTTTAGATTTTTTAAAATATAAATAGCTTAGTAAACATTGGCCTGTAAAAAAATAGTAAACTGATAATAAAATCAGATAATTTAACTGTATAATATGTGTATTGTATATATTACACACACAATGATATAGCTATCGTATAATTTACACTTTGGAGTTATTCCAAAATTAAAGGATGTCAAAGTGTATGAAAATCTGATATGTATTTTTAACATCTATTTTTGGCATTGTATTTTTTTTCAAACATTTAATTAAGACTAAAAATAATCAAATAATGGCTTACACTGTAATACATTAGATATAATTAAAAAATATATTTTTATATATTGTATATTTGTGTATAATATGTAACCATATAGGTACCATATTGGTTATATATAAACACTTCCTATAGAATGTTGGATATTATTCTTAGTAATACCTATTAATATTATTTTCTTTGTTATTTTAATGAATAATACAGATGTCTGTTTACTAGGTAAATAAATATTTTTTCATCAATTATTTTTCCATAGATATTAACTAAATTATTTTAAATTTTAATGCTATAATAATATCGTATTTAATGACTGTTTTTGAATATAATTAATAAATGTTGATATCTACATGAAACACGCGTTCGTAATAATACTATAAAATTACCGTTGTTATGATCAGATTCAATATTATTTAACTAAAAAGACCAAAGTCATTTAATCCATAAATATCTAACTCATGTCGACCATATAAAATAATTGTTTATATAATAGCCAATATAGGTAGGTCAAGAAGGAGTTTTTTCGGTTTTCAGGAATTTGTTTAGCTCTTGCAATGTCAAGTTGTTAACTAATATCTGGGTGACTGAGTGACCGTTTTGTAAATACGTATATATCAATAATTTTTTTATTAATATTATATTATTTTTATAAAATATTGAATTATCATGTTAAGAAAAATTTTAATGACATTTTTCCATTTTTTATTATATGGTTTTGAAACTAATGATACCTATTTTTTGGCGAGTCCCCTTTTTATCAAAACCATAGCAAAATAAAATTTAATAAGTATGTAAAGAATACTCTTGGTCACATTTTTATATAAGTAAGCCAAGAATATCGACTTAACTAATTTGGCTGAAATTTTAGATTTTGTTTTCTAACTAGAAGAAATATATCAGTCACAGGGACCCATTTACTCCTCATTAATCATTATTAACTCATAATTTAATTCATCACTTACATTTTTATTTAAATATAATTCGATGTTATAAATATCTGTTTCAAACATATTTATAAATCTTGAAATATTTTTTGGTTTATTAGAACTTGGAGGTATGTTAACATTTTTTTTTTTTTTTTTTTGTTTTTTTTCAGTATATTTACTTTAGATATCTTACACAGTTACACACAACATTTAATAATTTAATTTGTCTTTTAGTCATTTTATTTGAAAAAACACACGACATGCACTATGTTACTATCATTATTATCGCCTATACGATAAGATTAAATACTTTAGAATGTAAGTAATAAATATTAAAATACAGTGTATTATATAGTGTAAATATAGTGTATTAATATACACTTTAATTATTTGAGCTACAATGCTAAATTATTAATATTGGTTAAATAATAAAAAAAAAAAACTCATGTTAAATTTCTAAGCTACTCTTAACCTTTCCACAAGTAAGAATTTGATTTAAATCAATTATTATATGATGTTAGTTAATATCCTTAAAAATAAAGGCTGACAGGTGTATCTGTTCGTTTGTCATATGGTATGATTTAGTATTAAATTTAAATTCAACACACCTATTACAGTACCTACTCAATGACAAGTTATACTCGAAACTGGTACTATACATTAGAACGACTTAACTGTTTTTTTTTTTTTATATTTTATATTTTTATTAAGATGTTCGTCAATTTTTATATTTTGAGTATCTATATAATATAATATGAAGGGTTTTATGATTTATTAAATAACTCACTAATTTAAGCGACCATTGTAATTATCGAGTTACAAAATGTATTGTCTCTTTTCACTTGATTAACTAATATTAATAAATTATTAACGATAAAATAAATATAATAAGGCGTTCATATATTATTTAGTCATATAAATCTGATAAATAGACACTGGTTATTTTCACTAATTACTCATTAATTTTACTATGTATATGTATAACCTAACAAATATAACAAACATAGTTATTATTCTTATCATCATTATTTAAATCTAACACATACCTACACATCGTGTCTATATAACGACATTAAAATATCGAACTGTTATTTAAACATCCAATTACCAATAAACCCACAGGAAAAAAAAATGTAATCTTGTATAAGTATCGTGTAATACTTTAATTATACATTTTATTATTAAATACATTAATGTCCATTCTCCAGGACACAATAATATAGTTTATGAAAAATAAAAAATAAAATATGAATAATACTGATAGTATATTATACACATTTAGTGTACACCAGGGGTCACTAAATGGCGGTCCGCGAACAAATTTTATCCGACCCGCAGACAAAGAATAATAATAATTAATAACATATTACAACAAAATTACGAGTATATTTGTTATTGTTGTGCATTTTTTCAAATATTCTTAATATCACTAAACAATTTCCTATTTTCATTGTATTTATAATTTATTTTTATTTTTTCAATTGTTTGTAATATTAATTATGTTCTTAATGTTTATATACAATAGCAAATAATAAATAAAAAAATAATGTTCTCATTACATCCAACTTTGAAATATAATACCTATTATATGTTAATAATATATATTTACAATTTTGATGGTCCGCAAAAAATTTTCTAATTTCTATTGTGGCTCTTCAAAAATATTAATTGGTGTCCCCTGGTGTACACTAAGCAGTTCATAGATAACTCAAAGATTGATGCGGTGCAAGGGGTTTAATACATTCATTGTTTAAAAACAATCATATTGTTAATACGTAAAAGTTACAAACTTATATTTATATTATTGCGTTTCCGATGTTTATGTTAAAACCTTACTCCCAGATGTTTGAAACGGTCTCGGGGTCAAGTGTTTGGGAATAAACGAGTCTCCTTATATTACGCAATATTTGTATAAAATATAAAAACATGTATATTGGTTTCTCATAAAGACACAAATAATTGGATCTAATTACCAATAATTGGTACTTGAACTAAAATTGATTTTATAAGTTTGTAAAAGTAAATAACCGTGGATTCTTAACATTTTCAATAAATGTTTATTTTTTTTTTAAATAGGTAACTTATAACAACTTTTTTTTGGACTTTTTAAATTCTAATTTTGACAAAATTTGATATTTAATCAAAAAATTACGATATTTCCTATAACAATTAAATTTATTTTTATTATGTGTTGTGATTAAAAATATATTTATAAATCATAGAAACTTGAAACTTTTCTCTTTTACCAATCCATATATTATTTTTTTAGAGATTTTTATCAAATAAATAGGTTAGGTTTGTATAGATATAATATTGATACTTTAAGACAAAATAAGATTCATGATTCATATTCGAATGCGCGTAAATGCATTATTGACATATGACTGTACTTGGGCCTGAATAGCGCTTCGCTATTAGTTTCAGTCACGCACACAAATTATCACTGACTAAGCACATACATCAACACGATGATAAATACGTATACTGTCTGTAACGAATCCCATTAAGCTAAATATTTATTTAAAGTTATAAGATTAGCGTAGTGAAATCAGACCTGCGAGAGAGTTATCCTATATACAAAATGTTGGTCTATACTCTATACCATTCCACTCGTTTATAAATTTTAAAAATACTTTCAATTACTAGTACCTATCTATATAGTAGTAAGTCAGAACGAATTATAAATTCATTTGAAAGTTTCAAATTGCAACTATACGGTTCCGCATGTATATATACCGATGTGTGATAGCATATTTTCCCTATACTATGATCTAATTTAACTATGTATAATGACGGACGTGTATCGGTCGTGCTTCAGGTAGCCGCACTGCGCCGAGCTCGGGCTGCCAAGGCAGCAGCCGCCCGGACGGCGTCGCTGGAAAAGGAATTTGAGTCGGCGTTCAACGGGTTTGCGTCGGACGGCAAGCCGAGGGCGCGGCTCAACTACACCGAGAAGCTGTTGGACACGGTCGGGCTGAACAGCAAGTCGCAGGAGGCGTTGGAGGAAGAGATCCACAAGAAGCGGACAAAGTCCTTCTTCCAGGACGCGGAGGACGTGGTGGCCACAGCCGAAATGCACGCCAACAACCGACGGTCGGCCGCGTTCAAGGCGCAGCTACAGGATGCGGCTGACGAGCTATCCGCCGATCAGTTGTCGGCCGCGGCTCGGGCGCGCAAGTCCAAGGCCCGCTTGTTGGACATACAAAACGAATTGGACGGCATCGCCGAGCGGGACGCCGCCCGCCAAAAGCGCTCGGCCGACTTGAGGGCACTGTTCGCTGACAACGAAGCGCTCACAGAATCGGTCAGCACTTTCAAGAAGAAGTCGTCGAAAAAAGTGTCGTTTTAATGGACTTTAACGTCTTTAATAATATTTTTATTGATACAATTAATATAACGTATTAACAGAGAGAAAGAGAGTAAGATAAAGAGGGCCATGACGTAGATTGGTACTGAAACAGATCAGACGATACGACCGCTCGCTATATCATCTCTCATCATTACATGTGTTCCCTCTTTTTTCCTCTCCATCTCTCTTCTCCTCTCCTATCTCTTTCACACCGGTCTTATTCTCATCTCCTGACTCATTTTCTTTCTTTTCATCATTTTTTTGTCTTACGATTTTTTTCTTCTCTGTGATAAAATTTAATTTGTCACTCACTAGCAATTTTAATAATAATAATAATAATAATATGTTTAATCTGGTGTCGGGGTTTTTTTTTTTTTTTGTTGTTATTGTATAGATATCATAGAAATATACATAGAACATAACTTTTTTGTTCGTCGGTTTTGTAGGTACCTACTCGAGCAGGATAGAATGAAATTTTATCAAATTTCTCTTTACTTAGTCTAAAACGATTTACGTTCAAATGTTGTTCGATATTTATTTATTTTGTTGCATTTTTGTGTCATACATTTTACGAACAACTGAATAAGTATTATAATATGTATTACCTTTAACGATTGGTTATATTTACCCATATCGTTCAAATGTATACCATATAATAATATACATTCAAATCACAAATAATTTTGTTTTTTAAATACCATACCTGTTTATTTCAATTTTCCTAGTGTATTGTTTTCATGAAAATTAAAACGATTGAATATTAGACAAGAAACTAATTCGACGAATCAAAAACTGTTATGAGTTGTTGTGTTGAATAGTTGAAATAATAATATTGAATTTCAAAACATTATTTGGATAACGACTCAAAAATATATTCAACTGGAGCTGCTCGGATATAAATTATAACGATTCGTCGTTTTGTCATTATTTGATATGGCGTGCACGACTACCTATATCCTACTGGTATATCTACAAATTATTATTACTACTCTGTCATGGACGTGAATTGAAGAATATAGGAAGACTTAACCCTTTCTGGGCCATCTAAAGTCTTAAATTAAGGTATTATTTTAATAAATATGTTTTATTGCCTTTATGCAAATATAAAATAGATAAAATCATAAATGTACTTATTTAATAAAATTATTAATTATTGCGGTTAAAATATACCTAAGAGGTATTTATCAAAATTATACGTCAATATGTTTCGATGCTGCCATATTGGTAAATAGAATAATTATTTTCGTTGTATAATATGCCCAACGGCAAACACAGTTAAATTTACTGTCATATTAAATTTAAAAAATTAAATCCTATTATGATTTATATTATTTCCTGTGTCGGTCTAGCTCTTATGATTGGCCCCAAAGCGCCCACTTTTCAACTTTAAAAAAATTAACTACCTTTTGATATATCTTAATTAAAAAATAATTACTTTTAAATTATTTAATATGTATTATTGTGGTTGTTAAAAATAATATAACCAACAACGCTTTACATATCTTTTTTACATTTTTACACATAAAATACAAAATAATTCTTTATTAATAAATCTTTTTGAAAAAAAATGACATAAATATAAATAATTTAATTTATGTTAATAAAATGAATGCGATTTCTTCTCAAAAAAACACACACAAGTTAAAGGATCTAAATATTTTTAGTTTATCGAGATCTATGTTTGACTTTAATTTGTAAGCTTTTAAAATACTCGTTCACTAATGTTTACACGGAAGTATAAGCATATATATGAATACAATATATAAATATTTATTATTTACAATATGTTGAATTAATCAGACTTTGTCATTAATTCAAAATAAATGTTCAACATCTGAGTCATGCACAGAAGTGAATTAATATACAAGTTTTTTTACTTGGCTATGAGCCCTCAATCTTGAAAAATATCCAAGGGCTGGGTTCACTAGATCGACACTGTTTTTGCCCGTACACTAATAACTAAGGCGACGACTAATGACTGATAAAATACAATTGTTTTAAATAAATTTTAATTAAATATTATAAATTACATTAATATAGTTCACAAATAACGGTACAGTCAATACGTTTAAATAATACCTTTGAAAGACATACTATATTGGTTCATGTCCGATAGATGGGGGGGGGAGTCAGGGTCCCATCAATTAGTCTCTGTTAATTATACTGATTCACAACAGGCGTCTACGCCAAATAATTTTATTTTACGCACAAAGCGCATTTCATTCACGAGTAGGCAAATATTAGTTTCCCGTTTTAAACTGGTAATTTCCAAATCAGTTTTGAGTATAATAGCTTTAATAGGACGCGGACCAGTAGCACCTACAACGAAATTTGTATTTTAAAAAGTCAGTGTTATACAGTATTTCGCTTGCCTCTTGGCTTAACCGCCACGAATAATATGATATGTTTTTGTCCTATTTACATCTATGTAAATTTACTTAAAATTCAAGAACCATTACAATTGTTACTTTACCAACATATATTAAATACCTATAGAGATTTATTTGTAAATTTTATGCAGAATAATTGTGGTAATACGTGGATATGGTATTAGCATTGATTTGATGATATATTAATAAATCAATGTTGTCGGACAACGCTGCATTATTTAGTTTATCGATTTTACAACCGTTATAGGTGTACAATATTATTATCTTTGAATTTTTTATTGATTATATAACTTTTAAAAATATGATTCCTATATATGTACATTCCCAAGTGCCATCAATGGCATCTTCACTCACCGACCATATCAATATAGTATCAACCCAACACTTATCGCACGGCACCTGAACTTATTGTAAATAATTATTTTATATATACTGTGTAGGTAGATAAAAATAAGTAAATATAAATATATATTATATATATAATATATAAAATGACAATATCAAAATATTTTTTTAAATTTTTATTATTCATAGCATATATTAATGATTAACATAAGGTTGTAGACTTCATTGTTCATAGTGGTAGGTAACCTATGTTTAATGTATAGGTACATAATATGTTTAAAAAATAAAAATAATGTAGAAATTCAGTTTTATTGGTTGATGGTTCTATAATACATAATATGTATGTTATACGGCAGAATTTGTTGTGAGTCTAATTTGTCTGCAGCATTCAAAATAATAAATTTAGATATTTTGAGCATGTAATCGGTCTTTGATTGTTGGCCGCGGTACATTCAACATATTGGGATTACGTCCTAATGTTGTCAACGTAACCCTGAAATATGAAAATAAATAAAATCAATTCTCTCAATAATAAACAATTATTAAGTATAAAAACAAATTGTATGATTTCGTTTGGATTTCCATGAAATTCTAAAACATATAAACTCGTGATAAAGTTATTGAAATATGGTTGGTATGTTTATGTTGACGATTTCTGATCGAAACTTAAAAAATAAATCCTGACATAAAGAATTAAGACATATACTGTAGATGAATACTTTTTTCTGATTTGATCGTTAAAAATATTTGATTGCAAAGAAGTAGGTACAATAATGAATATATGATTATTATTATTTATTAAATTTGGAAAAAATCCTTAATTTTGTGAAATTATTTATGAGTACCTAACTGGTGTATACTGAACTAGGTGTATAATTAATTCAATCGCTGAAATAAATTACGGATAAATGAACGACCTATAATTCGATGAATTTAGTATGTATTATACTCTTACATACACGCATGGGCACTGCACCTGACTTACATTTTGCGGACTAGTAAAATAAAAGAATACAAATATTCAATTGTCATGAAAATATTTTCGTATATCGTCTTCTCCGGTGGCAAAACAATCATAATAATATAATCGTTTTTGTGCATACGTCATGGACTATATACCTTCTTCTGTACAAGTATAAATCACTCTAGCAGTGCATTAAATATGACCGCGACTTACCAAGGTGTACCGATGAGCTGGTCGTAGTACTGTCTGTAGTAGTAATGCTTGTCGTGGTCAGCCCGGCAAACGGATGGTATTGTCACGTAGTCGTTGAGCTTGGACTTGACCAGCGGGAAGTCGGACGACGACAGACGGCGACCATCTTTGGTGCACGTCCTGAGCACGCGTTCCTCCCACGTCTGCGGCACGGGGACCGGGTCGTACAGTCCCCTCTGTCGCCTGTCCATGTACCTTATGTAGTCGTCGTAGTAATTACTTTGGTAGTCGTACAAGATTTGATACTGAAGCCTGGTCGGTCGGGCCCAGTGTCTGAAAATCTTGCGCCTGTCTTTCTCCTCGATCTACACAACCGACACCGCGATCAATATCGATATTGTGTATACAGCATGGACACGCATAGATAATATGCATAATGTGTATTATTGGTTAAGGTACTAACAGCTGGTAAATGTATACTGTATAGTAGGTATGTGTAAGAAACGTTCGATTTTGTCATGAAACTACGTAATATACACACTCATATAGTAGGGTAACCATTTTTATGCAAATAAAAAACGGGACAAGCAATTTTTTATTAATATGATAAATTTTTTTATTTTTTCCAATTACATTTGAGTTACAATTTATATTAAAAAAATAATAAAATAATTATTATAATATATTTCTCTCTTTAAAATTGTTTTATATTTTTTTACAAATATCATTTAATATTTTAATAATATGGAAATAACGGGGTTTAAACGATACCGTTTTTAAAAAACGGGATAAAAAGCATTCCGTTCGGAGTTTTTTGGGACAACGGACCATGATGATCAAAAAAGGAACAATCCCGTATTAAATGAGATGTACTATGGTTAACCTATCGCATAGGCAATATAATACACCTAGTGGCCATAAAATCTGTTATGTACATCTGAGCACATTATAAAAAAAAAAAAAAATTAATACGATAATAATAAATAAATAAAATTGTTTTAAATATGAATGCTTAGATGTAATAATAATTAAATGGATTAAATAATGCAGTATGACACGATGAAATAATTTCGAAAAATATTATTAAAATCATTATTTTAATCATTATACTGTCAATTTATATCTAAGCATTCTAAGCTGGAAAATCGTTACTTTTCTTGTAATTACCAGATAGTTTAATTCACGCGAAAATAATTCTGTTTAATTACTTACAGCAAGCTTATAAGTTTTTCTCCATTCAGCTGGTGGCTTAGGCGCTTCAGCTTTTTGGGCCGGTGCATTATTCTCTTCGACGACTTCTTCATCACCGCCGGCATTAGTAGGTTCGTCTTCGATGTCATCAAGCATCCAGGCAGGTGCATCAGGATCAGCCATGTTAGATGTGTGTAATTTGACTAAAAGAGAATAAAAATCTTAAACTTTATAAAAACTAGAATTGAATAAAAAATAAAATAAATACTGTATAGTTTGAAATAAAATATAAGTATATATAAATATATATACACACAAACCTTAACTGAATTCCAATCTAATAAAGTACCGACTGAAAGCTTAAATGAATCGATCACCCCTTTGGACCATACAACTTATAATTCGCTAGTGGCCATGAGTATGGCTCATGCCCAATATTTCAGGGATCGCAAAATGTGCCATTGAATTCTTGTATAAAGCGCCCCCAAATACATCCGGGAGTATGGTGACTGTGTGTAAATAATGTACGTATATTTCGTCTCATCGATCGCAATATTTGGAACCATTGAGAATTCAGATCAGATGTGTGTCTTTCTTGGCGCCGATACACTTTATAGATACCTCATTGTGTCCTAATTGTCATTGTCAATAGTGAACAATGCCAATATTTTGTGATGAAGAAACTTGTAACGGTTTTTGTTTCATTGAAATTGTTTTTTTTTTCTTTTTAATTTTAAATTATAAAATATTGGTTGAGAAATATTATTTTATCACCTTGTGTACATGTATTACAGTCCAGAGTATTGTGTGTAAAATGCTGTAAAACAATCTATCAAGTGTGGGGTGTATATATCAAATGCAAATAATATGTAATCAGTTCGATTAATAAAAATTAAAAATTATATAACTATGATGAAAAATTAATATTCATAGTTGGAGTACCCCAAAAGGATGTCTAAGTATAAGTAATAAACTTAAAAAGGGGACTTCCTAAACTATGGAAAGTAATTTATTATTTAAGCACTCATAAATAAATTATTATATTTTATTAATACATAATTTCCTTTACATTTGGCCAAACTAAATGTTCTTGACCCCTTTATTCATTCATTGCCATCCTGACAAAAAAAAAAAAAAAAATTGGCCCCGGTGGTCAATCTTATACAAAATTGTTTTAAAAATAAGCTGTTTGAAAACAATAAAATGGAAAATATGAAACTAAAGTTTTTGATTTAGGTACTTAGTTAAATTTAGCATTTAATCTATCTTTCTTTTTAGATTGTTCAACATTATACAGAATGTTTAATAATGTAGTTTTGACCGTTGTGTTTTTAATTGCAAATGCAATATTTATTATTAATGATAGATTTATTTAAAATTACTTAGGTTAATTGTACAAACATTTAAGTCAAATTTTCTGATAATAAAATTTAAAAAAAAAAAATAAAATAACGATTTTATTAAGTATTATAGATTGAATTGTAGAATCTTGAAATAATACGTTTTAGGAAACTGATATAGGAGCACATGAGTTGCATACTGTAAAAAAGGTATGCAGGTATACCGTATACGAATAGCTTCCCACAACATTAGATAATAGATGGTAGAATATTTTTTCGTTTTCGGGGTTTTCCATAGCAAATAAAAAAGGGCCAAAGGGGCCCTGGGCTTTGATATTATTTATCGATAATGTAAATATGTATTATGTACGTATAAATATACATATATATTTTAATGTTATAATTGATAAATTATATTAAATTATTCTTTGAATGTAATTCAAGAATTCAACGATGAACGCATAATATAATTTAATAATTATTTTTATTCAAATTTTAGGTATAAATAAAAAATCCTTAACAGTTCACCGCAACTCGCTAGTGAATAATACTTATTTCCTTTATGGTGAAATTGTTATAATGTTATAAGCAAATCATAATTGTAATAACCACTAGAGTCTAGATAATAGGTTCATATATTTACTAGTAAAATTTAAGAACGATCAAAGAACTAATAAAAAAATAAGAAACTGATTTATGTATAGAGTTAATGGAAATAAAAGTCACAAATGTATGAAATAAATAAAAATAATATTTTGTCATTATATACTAACTCATCATTTTAACATGCAGATTTGTAAAGATCAAAAATCTAAATAATTTTTAAATCTAAAATTTTGTGACATTAATTGATAAATTAAAAAAGGTATTTCAAAAACAATTGTCATGCTTTAAGCGCCTAAAATATCAAAATAAGCGCTTAAAATAACACATTAAAGAGTACATTAAAAGAATTAAAACAAAATAAACTAATAAATAATTAAAATAAGTATGAAAAAACTGTCTCAAAAACCAAAAAACTAAGATTCTCCTCCATTATTTCCCACGTATTTCCTCGTGTATTATTATAATAAGAAACTACTGCATTTATGTATATGTGATTATATATATTTTTTTATTTTTTTTTTTTTTTAATAACCGACTTATCAATAATTCGGTTTTTACTTTTGATTATTATAATTATCAAAAGTAATTGTGATGATCAAAATAAATTAATTGGTAATCTAACATTTTTTTTTCGAAAATAAATTGTATTTTGTTGATATGTTATGCAGCGTTATTATTAGAACGAAGGAATATATTTGTTATCCATTGGTCATTGCCAGCCACGACCTGAGTATCTGACGAGTGATGACTGTCGTCTGGCGCGATAGATAATAAAAACAAAGACGAGTTGATTATCACTACAGAATATAATATAACAATAGTATTACTGCAGAGTACCAAAGCAAAGGATGATTCACACTAGTCAGACGTGTACCGACAGACACCGTACCGTACCGTTCCGCAAAATATTTTAATATGTATTTAAATAAGGTAATTCATATCTGATCGTTTCCGTTCCGTTCATACACGTACCGATACGACAGAGTCCGTCCGGCATTCTGCGCGAGAATGTTTTGTCGGGACCGGTCCATGTCTGATCCGGTGTGAACAGGTTCTATGAATGAACAACAGACATAATATTATATCCGTCTGCTGTTATTATTTGTAGTCACAGGCTTTTGAAGTTCGTACTTATAAACTTCTTGTTTTTTTTTTCACTTTTTTAAAATTTTTCATTCGCAACGAATCTAGAGTTATTGATTGAACTCGTCAGAGACCAAGAATGCCTCTATGCATTGTCACACAAAAAATATAGTGACCATGTGTACAAAGAATCATGCTGGAAAAACATTTCGACTTCTCTAGGCATACCTGGTAATACTAACTAAAATATATAATACTTATGATACACTTCGCACATTTCGTGATTTTTACATTTTTTCTCAAATTCAAACTTGAAATGCATATAAAAAAAAAATTGTGATTATGTATTTTTAATATTTTTAACTGCCATTGTAACAATATACAGTAGTCGCCGCTTATTGGACCCGACAATTTGAGTCGATTAACCGAATGAGTCAATAAGGCGAATGACTCAAAAAATGTTAAAAATGCTTAAATTTAAAAACGTATTTACTTAAAAATATGTATTGAGCTTCAAGGTATTTATGTATAAAAATAAAAATCTAGCTATACGCAAATAAAAATAAAATAGTTAAATAAAATAAAATTAATAAAATAAAAATTGTCTATTCATACACTACCTGTCGTACTAATTGACATTGACGACAGCTTGGTTTATCGTAATTTATTTTATCTCCGCGATAAAAGCAAAATACCGGTACCGACTTATTTATAACACGTTTGTTCAATGTATGTACATATTTTATTTATTTATCTAATTTTCAAATGACCCTATTAACCGGTGTGTGAGTCAAATAGACGAATTTTTTGCCGTGTGTTAGTATATGTGCGAATCGGGACCATTCATTTTGAGTCTAATAAGCGAATGAGTCAATTAACCGTAAGTCCAATAAGCGGCGACTACTGTATTATGAATTTAGTATTTTTAAGCTTTTTAACCTAACGAATTAATCTAAAACGAATTTTATGCATATAAAAAACATTAAAAAAATTGAAAAATTAAAATGCCTGTTAATAGCATAAAACTAGTTAAAATATTTTGTACATTTTATGAATATATATTATATATTATTTGTTTTCAAATATCAATAAAATTGTATTCGTTGGAGCGAAAAGCTTGAAAAGTTAATATTTGATATATTATTATATTTATACTATACGTATATATCTAATCAGTGATAATATTTTCAAGAAATATATAAAAAAAAACATTGTACATGTATGATAAATGATTTTATTAAGTTAATTTATATGTATAAACACATTAAAAATAATTAATAGTGTTAAGTCCAATGGATTTGACCAACAGGTGAATTAAAAAATTGTTTGAATTTGTCTCTCACTTCGAATGCTACTTGTGGCGCGCTTCCTCCTTGATTTGGAATATTTGTAATATTTCTAGGTAGCTTCGTCATCATCATGTTGTAGTTATTTACATACATTTTCTCCTGAAGATAATCAAAACTAAATTTGATACAGTAAATTATATTTCAATTTTAAGTAAGTTTGTTAGTTTTTTTCGGCGGTAGTAAAATTTTTAAACATACTTCAAACTTTAAATATCAACGAAAAATTTATAGATAAAAGATTTTATCAATGATTATTTCACTTGTGATTTTCTCAAAATTAAGAAAAAATAAAACAATAATAATAAAAATAAGAGTAAAAAGTAGTGAAAATAAAATCATTTTAATTCAAAAAAATTGTAGTTAATTTAACGTTTTGAGGAAATAGGATTCAAAATAGGACTTTAAAATATATACTTAAATTCATAAATATATATTAATAAAATAAAACATTAAAATGTTCATGTATAAACCACACCTACTATTTTTGTAATTGTAGCCACTGTATTAATAATTATAAACTATATAATTATTGATTATTATACATTTAACTAACACGGTATAAACTTCATATTCGTAGTTTTTAGAATATGTTACTTCATCTTTATTAAATAGTAATAAGTGATAACTATAATAACTAATATTTAATAAGACTAATAAAATAATCTATACAGACATGCCGTGTGCTGCCTGAATAAATAACACATAAGTCACAGAGCATACCGATATTCAGAATTATATTAATTTTAACTTGAATCAATCAATATTATAATGTATTATAATGTATCTCTTAATCTCTAAACAGTCTAAACGTATGCAAATATAATATGTGAAAATCTCACAAATCTAACAGCTGTATAGGTACAATATATTTTTATATCTGTTATACTTAGGTATATGAGTAAGGCTTAACGGGTAACTAATGCCTACCTAAACTAAGTACCTATAACCTAGCAGTGACGAGCCGAGACAACGAGACCCTGCGGTATTTATTTATTTTTGTGTATTAGCAATATTAGCATATTTATTAATTTAAATATTAGTAAATGTTTAC